AAGTTTTCAACGTCGTTGCTCGCAATTCAACTTTCCCGCCCGAATCGAGAGACGTAAAATTCGTAATAATCTCGTCTTCCTCCATCGTTTCGAATTATCCACAGGAGAGAAAAGGCGAAACGGTATAGTTTTCAACTGTGAACTGTGAAAGAAAAATTGCAGGAATTGTTTGAAAAACAACGTGTTCTCACGCTAACGTAATCGAGTTACAGTTTGCAAATTAGGCAACGGTCTAGGCAACATTAGAGGGGGAAAAGAAACACCGTTTTTCTCGATTTTCCGTTCGAAGCAACGTTCCCCCCATTTCCGCGTGTTGGAACTCCGTGGAGGGAGGAAGGTAAAGGAAGGTGAAGAAAGAAAGGAAAAAAACACTCTCCCACGCGCAGTGACACCGCGGCCAAGTAACGCTTTATCGATGGACCGACTGCTCGAGCTTTCGCTCTCCTATTGGATGCAAGGCGAGCATTTGCGTAACGAGTCCTCTCCCCCTCTCTCTCTCTCTCTCTCTCTGTCTCTGTGCGCCGTCGTTTCCATTAGGTCACCGCGGAGCGTGTGCGGTTTTTCCGAGAATCGTTCCGGTATGTGGCGCGCGGAACAGCAAAGATGGATGAACGAAGGGAAAAATGGAAAAAGATGTGGAAACGTGGAATAACCATTCGATTCTCAAATTCGAAAAAAGAGACAGAGAGAGAGAGAGAGAGAGAAGAGAAAATGAATTCGGAGCGCTTTCGTAGGGGAACAGTTCACTTCGAGATGGGAAGAATGGAAAAAAGTGTGGAAACGTGGTCGAAAGAATAATCATTCGGCGTCCTTTCGCGCCTGTTCTCTTTTTTTTCGATTCTCAAATGGAAAAGAGGAAAAGAGAAAGAGAGAGAGAGAAGAAAATAAATTCGCTTTCGCAGAGGAACAGTTCACTTCGAAATGGGAAAAATGGAAAAAGATGTGGAAACGTGGTCGAAAGAATAATCATTCGGCGTCCTCAAATTCGAAAAAAGAGAAAAAGAGAGAGAGAGAAGAAAATAAATTCGGAGCGTTTTCGTGGCGGAAAAGTTCACTTCGAGATGAGAAGAAAGGAAAAAGATGTGGAAACGTTCTCTTTTTTTTCGATTCTCAAATTCGAAAAAAGAGAAAGAGAAGAAAATAAATTCGGATCGTTTTCGTGGCGGAAAAATTCACTTCGAGATGGAAAAAGGTGTGGAAACGTTCTCTTTTTTTTCGATTCTCAAATTCGAAAAAAGAGAAAAAGAGAGAGAGAAGAAAATAAATTCGGAGCATTTTTATGGCGGAAAAGTTCACTTCGAGATGGAAAAAGGTGTGGAAACATGGTCGAAAGAATAATCATTCGGCGTCTTTTCGCGCCTATTCTCTATTTTTTCTCGGTGCGTTTCTAAATCCCTTAAAAGGAGAGAGGGAAAGAAGAAGGAGAAGCAAATTCAAAATATGCAAAAATAATGTGGCACCTGTTCTCTTTTTCCGATTCCCAAATTCGAAAAAAAGAGACAGAGAGAAGAAAGTAATTCGAAAGAGGAAATTAAATTCGAAGCTGGATGAACGAAAGGAAAAATGGAAAAAAGGAAATATCAAAACTTATCCTTTTCTCTTTTTCCTAACCTTCATAACAATTTTATCACATATCCCGTGGAATATCTATTTCCAAATACCAGCGAAAACCCTTCGAATTTCTCGGATTCTCAAATCCGAAAAAAGAGAGAGAGAGAGAGAGAAAGAAAGGAAGAGGAAATTCGGAGCGTGAAAAGACGGCGC